TCCCCCCTCTTGTCAGGGAGTTGCAGAGAGCCAGAAGGTCCCCCCTGAGCCTCCTTTTCTCCAGGCAGCCTCCAGCACTGCTGGATTTGCCAGGAAAACCACAAGGGAAAAAACCCAGGCAGAGCAGAACAAGCCCTGATTGACAGCCCGACAAGCAACAACCTGATTGTTTGATAGGAAGGAAAACTGCTCTTTAAAAATTAAAGGTCTGGTCTCAAAATGTTAGGTCACAAAAGGCTGAAGGATTTTTAAAACACTCACAGGGCTGGTCATGTAGTGCCCTGGGAGAATGTAAACTTAAATGCCAAAACAAGGGCCTGTTCCTCTCACTCGTGGCATTTTTTTAAATTACTGCAGCTTAGGTCACTCTCATGTGTCGTTATTAGTAACCCAGGAAAACTGCCAGGCTGTTCTACCACTCAAAAATCAAATGTGTAATATAAAAGAGGAGAAGGTGACACATTTCTGTTAAAGGAAATTGTTAGTTCAAGCCTGCCCAAAAAGCTTTTTGTTGTTATTTTTGCAGAAAATGGCTATTTAATCAAAATACATGTAATTTCCAACGTACAAAAAAACCCAGTCCCCCAGATCCTCCTCCCAGACCATCCAGTTCTGACCTCAGAAACAGAATCCCAGAATCCCAAAAAGGTTTGGGTTGGAGCTTAAAGCTCATCTCGTTCCATCCCCCCCGCCACGAGCAGGAACCCCTCCCGCTAGACCAGCCCTACCCTTGGGTGCAGTTCTGCACAAATCCACCCCAGAGCAGATTTGGTTTTGTCTAAAATGCCCCGACCGAAGCGGGTTTTTGAGCTGCTCCTGCCCAGTCCAGGTAAGGCGCATGTGGAGCCTGTGTCTGCTGTGGGTCCTTCCCCCCGGGCAGTGTCCCCTCCTGTCGGAGCCGTGTCCCAGTTTGCGTCCTACCGATGCTCTGCCCCTCCCTGTCCTTACTCACCCGCTCGCAGAACTTTGAACTCTCCAGCTCTTTTACATCTCGTGTTGAATTATTTCTGGAGAACCTCCTCCCCCTGACCGTGCTTGTCTAAACTCTCTCTTTTTTGCTTCTCTTCCCTCTTGTGACTTGTCTCTCCCTTCTGTTGCTTCTCCTTCTGTTTTACACCTGCCTGCCTTTGTGTTTGTCCGGTGTTTCCCCCTTTTTTATTTTTTGATTTGCTTTGTTCCAATTTTTATGTAGGGCAGTGGTTCAGTTAATGGGAGCCCCTTGCTGTCGACATCTGGTGCTAGTACCCCCTGCCGGGGTCGGAGGCAGCTCCCACAGACTCCACTGACCCCACGCCCCAGCATCACTTACAAGACCGCTAACTCCTCGCCCGTGCACTTCACCAGTATCCAACCCGGCCTCCCCACCTTCTCCCCGGGACGCCTGAGCCGCGGTCTGTCGGAGCACAACGC